GACGCGGGGGAGGGGCGCGAGGGGCTTGCCCGGGCCGACCTTGCCCCTGTCACCCTGCAGCGCAGCCCGAGCGTTTGGAGAATACCTGTCCCAGAGTCACCCTGAGAGCCGCAACGGGGCAGGTAGGCAGCGAGTCTCGCGCCTGGGGTCTAGACTCTGCTCCTTGCAGCCCCTGCCCTAGCCTAGCCAAGGCCCTGGAGGAGCTCCGATCACTCATCACCATGACACCCACCCAGCCTGGGCCGTTGGCATGGCAACAGGCCTCCTGGCACCCCCAGGGCTGGCACTACTGTCTCCGGGGGCCAGCTGGCAGGGGGGAGGGGAGGAATTGGCACTAGGCACACGGTGTGACTGCAGAGGGGGCTGTTCGTTCCTGCTCCCCGGGAGCATGCACTTGTAGCAAGACCTGTCACCCCATCCCATGCACACACAGGGCTTCAGACCCAAATAGGAGGACAGTGGGGCTGGGAAACACCTTTCCTGAAGACCTAGTTCCAGCAGCCTGAGCCCCGACATCAGGCCCCATGGAGGGGGTGCTCCTTGCCCACAGTGCGCCAGGGAAAAAGCTGTATGCTCACTTGGTGTCTCTCTCCAGACCACCTGCTGGCTGACGCCTACTCTGGCCACGACGGGTCTCCGGAGATGCAGCCAGCCCCCCAGAACAAGCGCCGCCTGTCCCTCATCTCCAACGGCCGCTATGAGGGCAGCCTCTCTGATGAGGCTGTCAGCAGGAAGCCAGCTGCCGAGGGCCCTCAACCCCGTGTGTACACCATCTCAGGGGAGCCAGCCCTGCTGCCTGGCCCCGAGGCCGAAGCCATTGAGCTGGCAGTGGTGAAGGGGCAGCGGCAGCGGGAACGGCACTCTCACCACCACAGCCAGCCCCTCCGAGCCAGCCCAGGCAGCAGCCGCGAGGACATCAGCAGGCCCTGCCAGAGTTGGGGGGGCAGCCGCCAGGGCTCCAAAGAATGTCCTGCATGTGCCCAGCTAGCCCCTGGGCCCTCCCCACGGGCCTTTGGGCTGGATCAGCCACCCCTGCCGGAGGCCTCTGGCCGCCGCAAGAAGCTAGAGAGGATGTACAGCGTCGATCGAGTGTCAGGTAAGGGTCTTGGGGCAGGGGCAGGTCTGGGCATCATGCTGGGGCCAGACAGCAGCAAGCACGGTCGGGCTGGGAATGGGCAGAGGATATGTGCAGCAAGAGATTCAGGGTGGACCTCACAGCCTCCCGGGACCACCCCAACACTCCCCAGGCCAAGGCCTCCCTCACCTCAGCAGAGCTCAGCCACAGTTGGCTTGGCCCTCCCAGCACTGGGTTCCTGAAAGAAGCACTTACTGCTTACTGGGAGGACCTTCAAGGATGAGCAAGCAAAAGCATGGCTCCATTGGAAGATGGGGCTGTCTACAGGAAGCCCTGGGGCCCAGGATTGACAGCCTTGGCAGGGGCAGTGTCTAAGCTGCTGTGCCCTGTAGAGATGCCTCCCTGGAAGCTTCTAGCACCCCCTTGCCTGGCTCTGGGGGAGGAATCTAGAGGCCCTGTGAAAGCGCTGGCTCTCAGCAAGGTGCTGCCCACCATGGCTGCCTGCCTCTACCTCTTCATCCTTGAGGGATCTAAGTCAGGCATCAGAGAATGCCTGAGACTGTGCACAAAGATGGAGTGGGCCCTTTTCCTGGTCACCTCTGGGCGTAGACTTCACACGTTTCTCCTCAAATTCTGGAAAGCCAAAGAGAGTTAAGTAGAGGATCAAAGCCTCAAGTCACAGAGTGTCTGAGTGTGCACAGCTGGGTGGAGCCCATGTGGGGACTCCAGGTGCCCTGCTGTCTTGACTCTGGCTGTGGCCAGTCCCTTTCTGATGGGACAGGCCAGATTTCAGGAGCCAGTCCACACCAGCTCTGGTTCCTTCTCTCTCCCAGATGACGTTCCCATCCGCACATGGTTCCCCAAGGAGAACCTGTTCAGCTTTCATACGGCAACCACAACTATGCAAGCGTGAGTCCCACAAGGGCCTGGTGCCCAGGAAATACTAGTGACCCTTCGCTGGACTCCAGGCTTGGGAACAATCACTGGTGTCCCATTGTACCAGGTTCCTGGCAAGCCAGCTGAGCCTCTGAGACCCTGGGGGCTCTCATTCCCACAGCTCAAGTCTGGCCTGACCTCCCTCTGAGCCATTCCTTTCCTCTCCTCCTCACACCCTTCCCCTCTCCCACCACCCACAGACTCCGTGGTCTGTTCTCAGGTCCTCAAGGACACGACTTAGGCCCACAGCTGGTACCATCATCATGGGGCGTGTAGGAGGGGTGTGCCTTTCATGTACACCCCAGGCCACAGCCTTTTCTGTTTTGCGTGACAGTGGTTGTAACGGGTTTCCTAGGGGTCTGTGTCTGTTTCCTCTTCCAAGGAGGTGCCAGAGCAGCCCCCATGCCGCCCGCAGAACTGGCCCAGCCCAGCTGACTGGGCTCAGCACCTGAGGCACCGGCCTAGTTCCTCAGCCACTGCTGCCTAGCTGGTATCCTGCTGGTGGCTGGGTGTGAGGGATCCCACTAGTCAGTGACAGGAGGGGAATTTACTTCAGGGGCCCTGAGGGCTGAGGGAAGCCTGGGTCTGGGCTCACTGTGTCTTCTTTCTCATGCTGCCTCTTCCTGCTGTGGCTTCAGCATTTCGTAAGTACCCATGCAGCTTGTGCCTGAGGGCACAGCTGGTGTCCTGGGGTGTCCCTACTACCCCCAAATAGGTGTGTGTAGGCCAGGGACCTGGGCCTTGACTGAGTGCTTAGCCTGCGGGGCGTGGTGCCTATGGGCCCTGAGGCCACAGCAGGCTGTGCTGGGAGCCAGGCCTTCGCTGGGCCTTCTGTTTGTGCCTCTGTCCCCTCGTCTGTGTCCCTCCTGCCTCTGGCCAAGGGCAATGCTGACTTGCCACGGTTTCCCAGGGTGTTCAGGGGCTACGCGGAGAGGAAGCGCCGGAAACGGGAGAATGATTCCGCGTCCGTAATCCAGAGGTAGGGCCTGCCAGCCACTCGCCACCAGGGTCTGTCTCTGTCTGCACTGGCCCTGCCTGGGCCCTCCTGGCCCTGCAGACCCGACGGGGGAAGGGCGGTGGCGACCACTGGCCTGGCCCTGCTCTGGGGACGTGGCAGGCACGAGATGCTGTGTGTCCTGGGCTCCTTTCAGCCCCAGAAGCTGCACTCTGAGGGTTCGTGGACGGTTGCGCTGCTGCCATCTGGCTCCCCATGTCTGTCAGGGCCCAGAGCTGTGGGGCTGTGGCAAAGCCTCGCCTCCCCTACTCCTACCAGTGTGCCTGGGGAGTTTGTCCATCTCAGACGCTGGGCCTTGGCACGAGGTTTGGGGAAATGACCTGCTTCCCAGTCGGGGTGGGGCGCCTGTGGTTGGTCTTCAGACCGATCTGCAGGTGGTACAGAAAAGATCACCCTGGTTGCTGTGCAGAAGGTGGCCCTTGGTTCCCTGAGAAGGGTGGCTGAGGGGTTCAGGGTGGGGTGGGCCCAGGGACAGAATGTTAGGAAGGGTCAGCAGAGGGCGTGCCTGAGTGCACACCCTGTGAGGACCTAACTGGAGGAGAGAGGCTTGCTGGAGAGTCTGGCACCTTTGTTCTGGGTCTAAGGGGAGTAGGCTGGGTAGGGTTTGCCTAGAGGTGGGCATTGGGTGAGGGGGGCAGCAGTGTGGGAAAGGGCAGGGCCACTGGGAGGGGTTGAAAATGGAGCCCTGGCAAGGCAGGGCTAGGTGGGCAGGGGCTTTGGTCCACACCTCCATCACCAGATGCTTCTTCCCCTAGGAACTTCCGCAAGCATCTGCGCATGGTCGGCAGCCGGCGGGTGAAGGCCCAGAGTAAGATGGGGGGTGATGGGCAGCTCTGCGCTTGGCCAGGGGGGTGCTTCGTGGGCAGCTGGCAGTGCTGGAAAGGCCTATGTCCCCAGGACCCACTCTAGCCCCAGCCCACCCCAGGATTCAGCCCCGCCCCTCAGGCTCTCCCTGCTCACGCTCACCTACGTACAGTCTCCCCCAGGCCTGCCTAGAGGTGTCCTTCGGTCTGGTTCCCACTGCCTCTGGCCATTGGTTGTCATCTGCCATTGTGACCAGGCCCCACCCACGTAGGCTTTCAGCCCTGCCCTGCCCCACCTCCAGCTCAGAGCCTGTTGTCCCTGGACCGCCCCAGCTGACTGGGTTTTGCTCTCACTGCAGCGTTCGCTGAGCGGCGCGAGCGGAGCTTCAGCCGGTCCTGGAGCGACCCCACCCCCATGAAAGCCGACACTTCCCACGACTCCCGAGATAGTAGGTGTCCGGGCGTGTCCCGGTGGGCAGTTAGCCCAACTCCCCAGAGTCCTGAGGCCCCAGGCCCAGCCGGGGATCCAGCACTGTTCCGCTTCTGCACTTGTGCTCTCTGAGCCTCAGTGTAGCACCTGTGGGATGGCTGTCCATCACAGGACCTGTGGGCAGGGTAACAAGGCTGCATCGCCCGGGGCATGGTGCCTGCCAGGCTGTGCTTGCTGCTCTCTGGGGCCTGACACACACCTGGCCGAGGCTGACAGCTGCACGCAGCTCGTGTCCTCACAACTGAGTGTCCCCTTTTCCCCATCGGTGCTGGCAGCTCTGTCCTTCACCCTGCACAGCCCTCCCCCACCCAAGATCCTCCAGGACATGGCTTGCAGGCTCTGTGGTCAGCGAGGCAGCTCTCTCGGTGACCCCTTCTGCCTCCCAGGCAGTGACCTTCAGAGCTCACACTGCACACTGGACGAGGCCTGTGAAGACCTGGACTGGGAAACGGAGAAGGGCCTGGAGGCCATGGCCTGCAACACCGAGGGCTTCCTGCCACCCAAGGTTATGGTGAGGCCCCTCCTGGGTGCTGCTCAGCCCTCCTCATGTTCTCCACAATCTGTCAGGGTAGGGGGTGAAGGGGAGTCGGGCTCTGCCCTCCACTGCCCTCGGCTCCCTTGGAGTTTGGGAGGACATTGGGGTTACCCTGAGCTGTGGAGGGAGGCAGCCTCCAGGGCTCCTGCTGTCCCTCAGCTGTGGGATGAGTGGGCACTGAGCAGCTTCCCTGTGTCCCCAGCTCATCTCTTCCAAGGTGCCCAAAGCCGAGTACATCCCCACCATCATCCGCAGGGATGACCCCTCCATCATCCCCATCCTCTACGTGAGTACCCTGCCTGGGTGGTCCCTGCTCCCTCTGGGCTCCGGCCCTCCTCCTGACGCCCAAAGGTTTGCTGACACATGGCCTGCCTGTCCCTAGGACCACGAGCATGCGACCTTCGAGGACATCCTGGGTATGTGTCTTGTCGGCCTGCTGTCTGGCTGCTGGCTGGGAAGGGTGGGCTGTACTCACTTGGGGCAGTGCTTACACCTGCCGTCCACAGAGGAGATAGAGAAGAAGCTGAGCGTGTATCACAAGGGGGCCAAGATCTGGAAGATGCTGATATTCTGTCAGGTGGGGCCCAGCCCTCCCTTCACACCAGGGAGGCACCAGCGTGGTGGGGGAGGTGACCAGCGTCGTGTCTCATGAGTGTGTGTCTGGTGTGCATACGCGGTGTGTGTGCATGGATGGTCTGTGTGTTTGCCTGTGTGCGTGCATGGTATGGGTGGGTGGGGTGCCTTATGCCTGTTGGTTTATGTGTGTGGGAGCAGGTGCAGGACACCTCCCTCTGGCCCCCCTGGAGGCTTAACCACAGCCTCTTGCAGGGAGGCCCTGGACACCTCTATCTGCTCAAGAACAAGGTGGCCACCTTTGCCAAAGTGGAAAAGGAAGAGGACATGATCCAGTGAGAGGGCGGGTGTCCGGGGCTGGGGGAGGCTCGAGGTGGTCCTGGGGGCCTGGGCTAAGGCCGCCTGGGACCCCTCGCCCTCCAGCTTCTGGAAGAGGTTGAGCCGCCTAATGAGCAAGGTGAACCCAGAGCCGAATGTCATCCACATCATGGGCTGCTACATCCTGGGGAACCCCAATGGGGAGAAGGTATGGCCCAGGCCAACAGGAGGCACTTCCCACCCTTCCCCTGCTTGGGCCTTCCGGGGTCCCCTGCGCTCCAGCTCATAGCTTGCCTCTTCTTGCAGCTGTTCCAGAACCTCAGGAACCTCATGACTCCCTACAGGGTCACCTTCGAGTCACCCCTGGAGCTGTCTGCCCAAGGTGAGAGAGCCCTGCTCACCAGCCACAGGTATGGAGGTCCCGCCCGGCCCTGAGCCCCACCTTGCTCTCCTGCACAGGAAAGCAGATGATCGAGACCTACTTTGACTTCCGGCTGTACCGCCTATGGAAGAGCCGCCAGCACTCGAAGCTGCTGGACCTCGATGAGGTCCTGTGAGGGGCCCAGGCCACGCCAGCCACCTCCAGGCCATGGCCATTGCACCCAGGACCCATGGCCCTGGTCTTGCCCAGAGCTCTTCAGGGCCTCAGGAGGTCACTCAGGTTCTCATGGGGTCAGGTCCTCACTGCGCCCATGGCCCCAAGGCTGCAGTCCCGGGCCAGTAGACCCTCAGCGGCTGGGGCACCAACCTGCCATGCCTCGCCTGGAGGCCGCAGTGTTCAAATCCCCTCCTTGGGGTTCATAGAAATAAGTGCAATTTCTTATGCCCCTGAAACAGTCTGAAGGGAAGCAGCATTACTAGTTAACTAGTTACTGCATAGATTACCCGGCCCAGTGTGTGTCCAGGTCCACTTATCCCCCAGTCTCTCAGCCCTGCCGTATTTGATCACCAGCACCAGGGTGGCCTGTCTGTCAGCTTCCCCCTTCTTCCCCCTCACCGTACCCTGCTCACTGACCTCAGCCAGCACTAGGCCTGGCAAAGGGCAGCCGGGCAGGAGGAGGCGGCAGGGGGTGGGGGTCACTCCCATTGCCCTGAGTCCAGCAGCTCTTGCTTTTGCCGGCCTTGGTTGGAGGCCTCCTCCCCGCACAGAGGACTGGCACCGGGCTGGGCCCTGGAGGGTGAGAACCATATAGATGCTATTGGCCCCAGCACTTCAGGCCTGAAACCAAGGAGCTGGTGGGTGGCAGGGGTCCCGGGCTCCACTCTCCGCCTTGCCCAGGGCCCACAGGTGGACTCTCTTGTACATAGCTGGGGCTTGGGGGCAGGCCCCCCTTTTGCAGAGCCCAGGGTCAAGGGCACCTGTCTGTGTCCCTGGCCAGGGATGGGGCTGGGCTCTAAACAATGTACGATACCCCTAGAGTGACCATTAAACCTGATCCTCTGCTGCGCCTACGTGTGGTCTCTGCTCAGTGCTCCCATGTGCCCGCTGGCCTGAGGTCACTGCTGTGGCAGCTTCCTGCACACCCTGGCCTGACTCCCCTTCAAGGGCACATGACATGGTGGGGCATGGGGCTCCCAGCAGAGGTCTGCCATCAGTATCGGGAGAGGAAGGAGGGGCCCACTAGGGCTGGGGAGCGTGTCCCAGAAGAAGGTCAAGTGCAGAGACTGCCTTCTGGCTACCCGTGCCCCTCCCTTGGCATTGAGCAAGGCTGCCCACGCCCTCAGGCCCCCTGTGTGTGTGCTCAGCTGTGTGGCCACACCAAGAGGCCAAGGAGTATCCCCAGGACTGGCTGGCCATGCCCCAGTGCCCTGGCCACAGCCAGGCTCCACTGCGAGATGGTTTCTCATCTAGTGGTGGGGCCAGAGCCACTGGTCAGGGAGGGGAGGGTGGCCACCTGTGCAGGCTCAAGGCCAGCTGTGGAGTGGTGGGGTCCTTCCAGGGGAAGGGAACGGTCTCATGCCAGTGAGTATGTAAGCTTCTGGAAGTTTGGGTGAAGCATCAGGTGTCCGTGTACTTCCACTTACTTGGTTGCCCACGCTCTCTGAAAGTGATGTAGGAAACCACTGATTCAGCCGTCTCTCCTGTGCTCTCCTGGAGCGCACAGTCCCCCACCTCTGGCTCTCCCAGGCACCCTGCAGGCTCAGGCTGGGGAGCCTGGGGCTGCTTTAGCAGGTGCTTCTGCCCCATAGTCGTGCGGCTGCTGAGCAAGCTGGAGTCTGATGTGCGGCTTTCAAGGTATCACTCATTGCGGCCAGCAAAGAGAAATGCTACAATAAAAGACATCAGGTGGGATGCTACGAGGATGGAACCCCATGACCCTAGGGGATGAGGAAGGCAGGGATAGAGGTAAGGTGGAGTGGGTGGGTCCTAGATATCCCCACTTCTTATAAACACCTGAAAACAGCTGGGACAGAAACATTTCCAAGAGCTTAAGGATTAATCTGTTTGTACTAACCCTGATATGTAAAAAGTGTATAGGCAGTAAGAAAGGCAGTACCAATAGGGAAAATGAGCCAAGACAGGATGAGACAGGGGGACTGGGTGCCAGCAAAACTGTGTGGAAAGACTGAACTCCATGAGGGTTGAGAAAAGTGGCCAGGTATCCTCCTTGCCTGTTGTTGGGCCCTCCAAGGACAGGGACACTAATGCTGGCAGGGTCTTCTACAGCTCACACAGCAAAGCTCACAGTGTCCAGTGTCCTAGGAGGTGTCCATTGCCTGCCACAGTGCTGTCCCCATGAGTCCCATGGCAGGTCCTGGTGCAGCATCCTTGGGAGAGGGAGTGGTTCAGGTGGCTCCCACTGAGAAGGAAGCCTGGTCTGGCAGCCAGAGGCCTGGATACCACCCGTTGGAAGCAGTGATAAATGGTTGGCCCGCGTGCCTCATGTACTCCCTCCTGAGGAGGCTGTGGGACACAGGAAAGAAACTCCGTCCTCCCTGATCACCCTGACCACGCTGCCTCATGCTCCTGGGTGAGCTGCACATGCAGGTTCTCCACGTGCCTCCAGACAGACACCATGGGCATCCCTTGCCTGCCATGTGCCCCAGCAGAGCACCCTCCATGAGGAGCGTTGAGGGCAGACCGAGGTATGGGACCCATCCTGGGAGGTGAAGAAGAAAAAGCCCCATGGGAGAATGATCGTGGACAGTGGAGGGAGCAGTGGCACTCGTCCCTGCTGTGCAGTGCTTCTGTAGGTGACAACGTGGCCCAGGTGGTACCTGCTGACAGGTGGGTCAGCTCCTCTGTCCACCACCACCTCTACTTCCTGGCTTGAGGGCCAGGTAGGGAGTCAGAAGCCATGGGGCTGGAAAACACCAGAGCATTTACCCACAGAGGTGTGAGCCCTTGCTCCAGCAGGCGCACACACACACACACACACACACACACACACACACACACACGTGCGTGCGAGCGCGTGTGTGTGTGTGTGTGTGTGTG